AATCTCGATCTTAGAAAATATGCGTCGTTAAACAAAAATACACGAATCTCAATGGTTGGTCCGATAAGACTAGTCGATTATCTCTTTACAGCGCCGGGGATTTTGAGACCTCGAGCTTTCACATGTTTTGCGACGAGTATAATAATAGAAATAATAAAATAATCAATAATACATATTAATAATAATAATAATAATAATCAGTGATCGTACTATGTCATAGATGATTACTGAGTGTGAACGCAGTGATAAACAGTTTTTTTTTCGTTGTTATAAACCTAGCTATCCGAATAAGATCGCTACAACAACGCCGTTATCCTTCGCCTCACGTCGAATATAATGGTTTATCTCTCTTTAATTCTAATAATCCTATCTTTATCTAACTGAGATATCGGCCAATCGAGCCCCGATGCCGTTCGTTTTGACGAACCGTTTTACCGAGAGAGAACGAAAAAAGTCGAGAACGAGAAGAGAGAGAGGAAAAGACTTTTTGCGCGCGGACGGGCGGAAACGAACGGCGTCGACCGCTGAATTCGCGCAACAATCGATATCTCCAGGAGATCATATGAAAGATTCATTAACATATACTTAATCTTACGAGATTACTACAAACTAACGCGCGCGCGAACGCGTACTATAAAAAAAAAAAAATAAAAAAAAAGAAAGAGAAAAAAAAACAGAACAAGGTGGGACAAAGAAATGCAATGAGAGAAAAGCGCAACCGTAATTGCGAAAGTACGTTAAATTGTGTCTTCGGGAAGCGGGGATTTTTTTGTTCATAGAAGGGGGAAGGGGGGAGGGGAAGGATGTATTATAATATTCAATGTGATTATTCGTTATAATAATCGGATATTTTATTAATAATTACGAGATCACAGTGACGCTTTGACGCGCGGGGATCTCGGGTGGGCGGGCTGCATCTACTGCTGTACTGCTGCATTCTTTTTCGTCACATTGTGTGTGTGTGTGTGTGTGTATGTGTGTGCATTTGTCTTATTCTTATATATTACGCGTGCAAAATACGTACATATATACATATGCTGCGGATTCTTTTTCCCCTCTAACGCAGAAAGACGGTCGAGAAGACCGCGTTTCTCGTGTCTTCCCACGTCAAAAGTTGTTTAAAAGTTGTGGTTAAATTATCCCAGGTGTAAACTCCCTCGCGAGTAAGCGTATCAACAGCCTGCCCCCCACGATCCGCATAGTCACAGTTACAGCTTATTTCCCACCTTCGACTTACGCCCTTCGACCTCCATCAATCTCCGAAGAATCGTCTCGTCTCCACTACCCTTATAACACCACCTCCCCGTCATACTTTCTCCGGGCACATGCCCCATCGAAATATACGATTCTCTTTCCACACAACGAGTTATCATTTCTCTTTCGAAACAATAATATCTCCGAATATACCATTTAAAATATATATATATGCTTTTATATATATATATATATATCTTCCATATTATATATATATATTTTTATATGCGTTTATCTATATATATCATTATTATATCCTCAATATGGCTGACTATTACCTAAGTGCTTTTACAGAGCAATTAATCTAAAAAAAATTGAACAAAAAAGTAAAAAAAAATATATCGGGGAAAAAACCGTAGTTTGAACGTTATATATATATATATATATATATATTTAATATATTCCGTTCCTGGGCCAAATTCGGCGAACTCGCTCTGCCTTTCCCTATCTATACGGAGTAAAAAGAATTAAATGGCTGCGGCCTTTCCTTTAGGCCGTCACGCGCCACGTTTTACCGCGCTGCAGGAAAACGGGAATTTTCCCTTTGGTCGGAATGCAACAACCTCCACGAGAGTAAGAGTCGTCCCCTCTTAAAACTCGTGGCCCTCCCCGTGACAACGACAAACACTATCTATATCGTATCAATATGTATATACGATAATCTTGTACCGTTGCGTGCTCTCTCCGCGAAAGGAGCAAGCTGCACAGAGGAAACCCGATCGAAGATTAGAGATTCTGCCGATGAGAGTGGGAGGCGAATCACACCGTTGAATCCAGACAAGTTTCTCGCAACAGCTGTCAATGGCCCTGACAGTTGACGCGAGTTCGATCATCGGCGCGAGTATTACTCAAATTTTGACAATTTTATCAAGTTTTGACAATTTTGACACGCCGATTGTAGGAGCCAAAGTTCCGAATAAATATGACAAAAAATTATTTATGTAAAATTGTAATTATTACCCCGTGAAATTAGAATTCCAATTGAGATAACTTGTGTGATTTAAAACCTTATAATTTACATATATGTATATAAAGAGCATATCTTTTAAACATCCTTCTGTGGTTATTTTTCATCTGTTTAATAAATTCAAAAATACGATAAAAATGACTATTTATATATTAAATTTATAAATTTGTCATACATTAAATTCATTTGTTAAATGTTTCGATGGAAATCTAATCTCACCATATGGTTGGATTCAACGGATGGCCCGCGTTCCGCAGAAATGGATTTAAGTTTCTAAATATGAGAAATATGCTCGCAAGAACGCGACAGAATGGAACGCTAAATACGATGAAAATACACACGATAAAGGCTCGAAAATTTGCGCGTACTGAGATTAAAATGACGCGTTAAATACTTATTTTTTTCGTCGTCTAAGACGACTTCTCCTTGCAGCGCGTTTCACGAATTCTCATATTCTTCGTATTCCCCTAAAATATCTGTGTCTCGACGCTAACTACTTTCGTCTTTAAGAATTACGGACACCGACATTATTATTGACTTTCCACAAAGCCGCTCCCACGGAAGCGTCTGGCGAGGATTTGCTTATCTCGAAAAATGGCAGTAATATATCTCGCCCGCGCATATATATACTATTTATTTCTCGTAAACGCCTATTAGACGAATAGAAAAACTGTATCGCCTATAAATAAATACTATGGACCTACACATTGGAATACTTCGACGGAGTAACGTCACAATCAGCCTATCAATAGGGAGACAAAGGAAAAACGCAATAGACTTGCACTCGGGGAAAAAAGAAAACGCGGCCCGTAGGGACGACTGTACAGCAGCCTCAGATAGTTTTGGTCTCGATAGTCTGCAACCGAAAGCCCAAGAATATACGCGTTTCCTCCCCTTCACTCGCTATTTTCTTCGCCGTTCCTACAGAACCCTAAGAAAAATCACGAAATGAAAAATTCTGGCCCGCTCGGCCGTGAAAATCGAAACTCTCTGGATTGTCGAGTGAAAACAACATATGACATTCTATCGATACACGCTACGCTCGAAATCTTTAGAGATTACGTTACGTCGCGCGCAACAAAACCATTATCGATAAATTATACAGAACTGCGAAGCGGAGAAGTGAAACGGAGGGAATCGCGTAGAAAACTGAGAACAGGTGAGTCACAGAGCGAGATAATCGATAGACAATTTGCCGATAAAAGAAAAAGGGTAGAAACGCGCGGGAAAAAGAAGAAAAGAGAAGGATATAGACGAGTTGTAGAAAAAGTACGCACAGAGGAAAGAGGGAAGTGCTCCTTCCGATGTGTCGCGAAAAGGCGTCCCGCATGGACGAGGGCGCCCACCTAATAGCTAAGCTACCGGAGATCATTTGAAAACTGTCCACGGGAGTCGCAGCTAGCCAATCAAGATGCTGCGATCCTCGGCCTATATAATCGATTATCTATTTTAATTATTATAACATCGACTTATTTTACTGAGTTTGTTTATTATTTTAGATAAAATCCTCTATACATACACAAGTTTGCTCCCCTGTCTCCACCTTACGTCCTCGCTCGTCCCCTATTCTCTTATATTTTTGGAATACGTCGTCATCTCTCTCTCTCTCTCTCTCTCTCTCTCTCTCTCTCTCTCTCTCTCTCCCTCTCGACATCTCTCTGTGTATATATACATGTGTTCCGTCCACGTCGCTCCGACATTTAGCAAGGCCGATCGATCGTAATGAAAATGTCAATCGATTGTAATTCAGACGGAATAGATTCGTTGATTAGGTTCGCGGTATCATCAGACCAAGTGTACATTGAGCAAACCTCGCAAAATGTCGTCGCGCAGCGCGGCGTCGTTAGAGAAAAAAGACTCGGACAAAAATTTTTGAGCGGTATCGGTCGGGAGACCGCGTTATCTACAAACCGCACACCGAAGAGTAGTCTTTCTATCTTGGCGAGACCAAGAGAGGGACGGACGCGTAAAGAGAAGACGTCGGAGAATAAGGGACGTTGTGGTCCGCCCTCTCTCGTTCCCGTGTAATCACACTACTTTATTTAATTCTCTTTATTTATCCGTAATGAGATCATCATTTGATTATTGGGTTTAATCCTCTTTGGATCTCGTCCTTGGCTCGCCTCTCTATACCCTCTCCCTCCTCGTGTCGTCTCGGGCTCCGATCGACGCGACGTAATACGCAATTCGGTTACTCTCGCCCGGGTTATCTCCCCTAAAACTCTCCAGCCTCCCTCCTGTCTTTCGCCCTCCGCTTACGGATTCGCAGGGCGAACTATCGGCACGTACAGCGTTCGAGAGAATGACTCCTGCATCGCGCGAGAATGCGCTTGTACTTCGTAATTTCCTGCCGTCGTTACTTCTCGCCTCATCATTCCATAGCAATCACAGTCATAATTTATCGACAGCACGCAACTCTCGCGTTGAATAGCAGCAAAGTAGAAATAGATCGGGCGAGCAAAGTTCTTTCGAGCGCCGATGTCGATTTAATCGATAGAAAATAATCAAGAAGTCGGAACTCTGCTATAGATAGGTTCCTAATCAGAGATCTTCTTATCCATTCATCCCGAAAAGGAATGAAGAGGAACACATTTAATAGAGAGCGACTCTGATTTATCAAATCAATCAATAATCAATTATCACAATTATCAATTAGTAAATTTATCAATCATCATAATCATTATCATTATCAATTATCAATTGTCAAATCAATTATTATAATCGTCAATTATCCTAATAATCAATTATCAAATAAATCAATTATTATTATTATCATTATTATGAAATCAATCAATAATCAAATTATTTATCATCAAAAATTAGAAATACATGGATCCACCATCAATACTTTTATCGTCATGATCAATTATATTAATATCTTCTAAGCAGTCAGATAGTACCTCAGAAAACGATCGAAATCGGTCAAGCACATTCTCGCGTAGTCGCGTGCGGCAGGGACGCGCAAGATACAAAACAGATATACAAAATACAATCGGAGTTATCGGAGTGAATATTCAAACAAGAGACTGTTCGTCTTCTCGATACATTCTACCTCGATCATAATCCATCGTCCGATCGCAAAGTGAGATCCGCAGTACGCGCCGCAGACTCTACCTCCTCTCGAGACGATCAGTCCGGTCGAGGATTCCAGGACTTCCGGAAGACATCCGGGAATTGCTGGCGGAAGTCCGTCCGTTCTAACGGCTCACAACGCCGTCGTTCCGGTCGCTGACACGATCGCTGATCGGGCCCGCGGGAACGATGGCTGGGCGAGACCGGCGCGTCTATCGCAGGCGGGAGACGAGTCTCCAGCCGAGGTACAGAGCCACCGTTGCCCAGAGGGTCTCTCGCAACGGCGTCGGAATCAGCAACGACAGAAGACTGTCAGTGGATGACGAGTTACTGTTGCGACCGTTGGACAGACCCGGACCGATCACTGGCAACCTCGACTTCTCGGTCTCGGCATCCTGTAACAACAAGCAACAACACCGGTCGTTCAGCATCGTTCGATTCTGTGACGTGACTAAAGAGTGTCTAAAATTAGTTATTTAAAGCGCTGAAACGATATCGAAACATCATAAGCTTCGATGTCTGAAAAGCACGTAGATAAAATGAAACAAACTTATAATACCAGCGATTAAGTCGCTAATCTCTGCAAAAATAAACAGTGCAAAAGTATCCAACGGTAAGTGAGCGCGTAACCAAGTTTCTCCGATACTTTCGTGAAGACTTGGCGAAGGCGACCTGTCGTAAGTCTCTCCTCGTAGTAGATCCGGAAAGTTGGAGAATGGGGTACGGAAAGGAATGACGTGCGCGCGCGGGGTTAAGGTTCCTAATTGGGAGTGTCCTAATTGGACGGAATTACCGACGATCCGGCACTCTCTTGCGGCTAAGCCTTCGACGGAGAAGAAAAAAAGGGGAAGAAAAAGCGGCGCGGTCGTTTTATCGAGTCCCCTTATCCCTACGAATTTACACGGAGAAACGACGACGACGGCGACGACGACGTTGTAGAGGGGAAAAAGATTGCGTCTCGCAAAGTCCACAGCGTGTCCCTTACGTTTCCTTTACGCGCAAACCACTCGCGACCCGGAAAAAAAAAGTTCAATTAAAGCCTGCTTATTAACGACACTAATTACCCAATTAACTTCCATTCCGCTGCGTCGACTGACGCTCGCGGCTACTGGTGTTGGTACCTCGTGCCAAGGATCGTGCAAATGGCTCGCGCGCAAAAAGAAATTCCGTTAGAGCGTACTTATGAACGATACTTATCCAATTAGCTATCCTTCGATATATGATATCTGGTATATAATAATTCCGCGCATCAGCGGTTCGCGATAATGCTGCATTAAGGAAGGCACAGCTAAGATCGCTCTGCGGATTTTTTTGCAAAAAAATTCATTTATGATAATATCGATGAATATTCCATTCTCGACGAAAAATTTAAAATTTGTATTTATCGTCGGTTTATTTCTCGAGACAAGCTATAAGCGAGGTCTCGTGCCGAAACCGATTGATATATCTCTGTAAAATATAGCTAGAGAAGTGACCTTATCTAGAATACAATACGAGGAGAACGTATAAAAAATCCATTACATCGACCTAGCCAAAGTCCGAGAAAATTATCGCGGATCTTGATGCGATACGATCTCGTAATATCTCGCGTGAAAGAACAATCTCCTGCCGCAGGACGATTAACTCCCAAGGGTTCCTTTTGTTTCTCCATTCTGCCACCCTTCCCTCTCCCTCCTACGCCGACGTTATCTCGACTCCGACCCGCGACTTCCGATTCCCGTCTCGTCTTAATCCACTCGCCGCGACCGGACGTGCAATAATAAACGCCCGGGGAAAGCCCAATCGTCGAGGTGGCGGGCTTTTATGGGACGACCATAATATCTGGACATCGTCGCTGGTTCGACCCCACGAAGAGAGAGAATGAGAATGAGAGAATCGCACGCTCTCACACGTTCGCAATCACGCGCGGGAGAAACATTCGATTCGTCGTCTACGCGAGAAGAAAGATTATCTCGGATGTGGATAGGGCGGAAAGTAAGAGGAGTAGACGAGAAACGTCACATTAAGAGAGAATTATGTGGGAGGGCGCGAGAGTGCTCTGTCGTGGGAGTTCTATTCGTCAATTAATAGTGTCCCTTCCTCTTGCCGCGGAATCACGCGTTGATATCGTAGGGCGAGTCTCCGTAACGCAGGGAGAGATCCATCGGGCATGATCTACGCCCGTTAATGTTTAACACGTACGAGGAGCTGCGAGACCGGCCACCTGCGACAATAACCGCGGGATAAACTCTGTCTCTTTTTATTTTTCTCTCTCTCTCTGTCTGTGAAACATACCGTTATTTTCCGCGCGTAAAAAAAGCTATAGAAATATCACTGTCATTTTATAGCTCCACGGTTCGAAAGAGAACGTTTGTTTGAGAAATACATATGGTTCGTTTCGAATATGTAATTCATATACAAGCAGAAAAATTTTTTATGTCAAGATTGTTTTATAAAAAAATGAAATGTGACAGGTATTGTTTATATTTATATAAAAAAAAAGTATATTATATCTGTGTAACAAATTTTTATAATTTGGGATAAAATATTAAATATATATGGAAAGAACACACATTAAATAATTGTCAGAAATTAAAATAATCGATGTGTGCGTTTACACAAAGGAAAATGCGCCGTCACAATAGGTGAGTCAATCCTGTCGATTTGAAGAGAGAAAAAAAACAAGAGCATACAAATACATAGAATTATATGTGGCAGTAGAACAATACAATGAAAAGTATAACTAAAATGCATCATGGATTGGAAAGTAAATTGTCAGAAAAAATGCAGCGCGTTCGTTGCTTTACGACGGATGAATCGTAAAATGTAAATTTCCCCGTGATTGCGCGTCCTGCCAACCGCAACCAATTCTTCAAATGCATTGCGAAAGGAGAATCAATACGTATATCGCATTTTCGCGCTTACATCCATAGAGCCTATCTCAGTACTTTTGTTATACTAATTTGTATAAAAAAAAAAAATAGCAAGTCACACTTTAATGAACAAAATAAGAACTCGCTTATTTCCTTTTATACGTCGCAAAAGTAAATCAATTTGCGTGCGGTGAGATAAATCATCGAGATAAAAATCATGCGGTGCGCTCGCGCCGCGATTTATGGCGGATTCGATCGCCGCGGAAAAGGATGTCAAAAAACGATTACGCACGAGCGATTTTTGCGAGAGAAAGAGAGAGCGCGATGCTAAACGGATCGTTCGTCTCTTTCTCTCCTCGTTCAGAAACGTGGCGCGATAGAGAGGCCTTTACAGCCACGCGCGGCGACTACTGGTAAGATGGATTATTGTGCAACGTAATTGCGTGGTTTGTGCCGTGGAAACGGCCAATCGCCCGGTTCCAACGTTTTGCCGCGGAGACTAAGTAAGAAAAAGCTGATGGAAAACAGAAGTTGCGGTTGGCACTCGTTCGGTAACGCGGCCGATGAAACAAGCTGCGCCTATCGATACCGAATGATCGGCGATAACAAAAGTATCATATCAAGCAAAGACGAAAACAAGATCGTTGAATGCACTTTGAGGTGGCACGATCGCGTGCGATTATCTTATTCCTCGATTAGTCTATCACTTCTAAAGTTTGAATTAAAAAAAAAAATTCCCATTATTATTGGTTAACGTGTTATATTATTTATGATTGGTAATAGTTAAATGTCGATCAGCGTTAATTCTTACGATTGCATGATTTCCGTACACGAATATAATATACGAAATATACGAAAGTAATAAACTGCGTCTGCGGATACTGATTACCGACGTATTGCAGAAATTATTCGCGACTTTCACTATTTTTCGCGAGGCGGTCACTTATCTCAAGCAGAATATTATTATTATTATTACATGTATCGTTAGATGCATGAAGTATTATATAAATTATCGGCTAAACGACGCCGGCAGGCGAAATCGAACAGGCGCGGTATAGGATAATAATTTTCTCTCGTTTTCAATAAAGCAGG